GGGGGTGGCCACCCTTCCAGCAGCAACTTGTTTTTTTTTTTTTTTATTTCAATTCGAGAAGCACGGGCCTGGAGTAGGCCTGGAATACAAAATACCTTGTTTGGCTGTCTCTTACTCTCCAAGAATACGTAGAGAGTTTCAAGGGTTTCGTGGGATTGCCAAGTCATGATCTTTACAGGTAGCAGAGAGATAAGCCTCTGACATTTCTATGCGTTTACTTTACTTGGTAGTTATCATGGATGCAAATGAACAATGACAGAAGTGAGAGAATATGAATTATCCACTGGATATCTTAAATAGACAAATCAATGATAGCACTACTACTACCTAGTGGTCTACCTCTCCATAGTACCACCCACAAACATCTTGAATATAGATCAAGATCCAATCCAAGATACATAAAAGTAGAAGAACCCCACAACTCGATACCTAAGCAACCAGTTGCCTTGCATCATCAACAGCACAGCGCGCCGCGCGCTTCAGCTCACTCTTCCACTCCGCCTCACGCCACTTAGCCCAAGCACTCAAACCCTCAGGCGGCTGGATACTCAGCGTATCATAGCCCTGCTTAATGATACGGTGGACCTCACGCGGGGAGAGATTCTTTTTCTTAATAGACGGCAACGCCACCGGTGCAGGCTCATCAGCTTTAGGAGTAGCCACAGTAACTGCAGCGGCGTCCACACCCTCCGAATGGAAGAGGAGGGTATAAAAGTGAGTAGACACGGATTGGAGGGTGTCTATGGCGGCTGAATTCTGCTCGTTTTGGGAGATTGCATCGGGTGCTTTGGAGGCTGTGACGCCTGCTGCTGCGTTATTGGAACGGGAAAATGAGTATGCATGGCGGAATTTGGAGATGATGGGGCCTGTTTCGACGAGCTTGTAGAAGAGATCGTCGTACGAGGCTGGATCTGGGAGGAAGGTGTCGCCGCCTGAGACGCAGAACGCGATTAGGTCTGCGAGGGAGGTCTTAAGGGTTTGAATCTTGGGGTTGCTGGTTAGATCGGAGGCGTAGGTTGTTAGGAAGCGCATGAGAGAGAGCAGAGTCCGCCAGAGCTCGGACCAGTGGTAGCTGAGTCTGATCTTGTTCTTTGAGAGGTAGGTTAGGAGGCGGAGAGTGATTGCGATTGTGTGGCTGGGAGGATTGTTAGTTATGCCATGGATAATGAATACAGTGTATGGTTGTTTTATACCTGTAGATGTTGACGTCGAGGCGCCGGCGAAGGTTATGCGTGATAGTATCAATGGCGATATCAAAGATGACGGTTGCGAGGACACGATCTCCAATGACTACAGGGAGGTAGGGCTGTTTCTGTCGACAGATACGAACCTTTCGCTTGACGTTTTCGCTGCAAATTTGTTTGCAGATGGTTGGGTCTTCGACCAGAATGCGAAGTGTAAACAGGTTTAGTTCGGCATAGTGCCCGACCCGCGGGGATCGATATGCATGTTGGAGAAGGTAGGAGGACAATGAGAGGAAGCTCGAGAAAGGAGATTCTTCCTCGCTACTTTCTGGTTCCAGATGAACCAAATGATAACCAAAGAGCTTATTGGCGTTTGTGAAGTCGTATGTGGCCATTAGAATTGCGGCTTCTTGTGCCGGACTGCCAGGATTGTAAGTTTCGAATCAATGGATTCTTCGCGCAGAGAACTTACAGATCAGCGAACATGGCCTTCGCTTCTTCCGCCGAAGGGGGGTTCGCTTTGTCCCTGGCACCAGGAGCTAGCGCTCGTAGTCCAAAGAAAATCAATGTGTTGGTCAAGCTCCAGCCCTCTGGAATGTCATCCTGGACAGCAATGTAGCCGTTTCGCAGGCGATTACAGGCCAGACCGACACCCTTGGCAACTTTTTCAATACTTGACTCGTTCACAAAATCATCAAGTCGAAGCTGGTAGGGGTTTTGGAATTCAAACTTGTTGTAGTTGGCCAGTAGCCCCAGAAGGACGAATGGGTCGAACACTTGCAGCGGGGTATCAGAATCAGAAACATACTATTGGCAACTGTCAGTGATTTCCATAGATAGAAGCAATCGAAGTTAATCAAACCTTCATAAGCGATGGGAAAAGATCCCTGTGTGTAAGATAGGAGACCAGACTTGTTTTGTATGCTCCGCTGGTCATGGCAATAGCCGTCTTGATAGCCTTGAGCCGCACATCGACTAGAAAAATTAGAATCAACTGATATGGTATCGGTTAAGGGCAGAATAGACAAAGACTTACAGCTACTGCCATTGCGAATGATTCTGTCCAAGACAGCCACGAAGTCGGAAATGACATGATCCACTTCGTCAAGTCCTGCAAGAACAGTGATGACATCCGAACTTGGGTTTGTGTATTTCTTGCTCAGAATGCTTGTCAAGAAAACAGTCAATGTCTGCGAAACAAGGTTAGAAAATATGCCCCGGATATTAACCAAGGGGTTCTTACATCTAGTGCATTAGAATCCGCCGGGGCGACCCCAGCTGCTGCCTCGCGAACGGCACGAACAAAGAAATGTTGAGTTTGGATCTAGTAATTAATTGCATCAGCTGTTTGAGATCATTTTTCAGGACGGTTTCTGTATTATGGCTTACCTGTAGACCGATTGTATCGTCTGGGCTCAATTGGTCTAGGATAGCATGCAGTTGGTTCCGGTCTGGAGGTAGCAAGAAGAGTTCTCTCCAAAATCCCTCCGAGGGGTCTGCATCATCTGCCGCCTATCAGGGGTATGTTAGTAACATCTCACAAAGCGATATTTATGTCCATACTTTGAAGAGATTCTCATAGAGCTGGACAATCTTAGGTTTGAAGGACTCGGGTCTACTCTGCTGGGTAAGGGGTGAGGCGTCCATGATATTTGACAATATGATCTGCAAAGACTAGATCGCCAGCATTGGACCTCGGGAACCAAATGAGTAAGGTTAATTTAAAGTCGAGTTGATTCAATTGCTTCGAGGTTCATGAAAAAGGGACACCAGCCACTTTGTCAGCCGATCCAGCCACATGTCCTCTACACTTGGCAAGGTGTTTACACTAGGGAATAAAAAATAAAAAATAAAAAATAACAAAATCTCAATATATTTGTATGTTAAACTGATGGATCTATACAGCCCATAATCTACATTTTGATACCATTCCCCGCCACTTGACTATATTTGGGTGTGGCATCTTCATGAGGGGTGAGACAGGTCCAGGTCCCTCCGACGAACGGAACTCTCCGCGGTCATGGATGACTCAGCTTCCGAAAAACGCATTGGATGACCACATGGGAATCAATCTGATCTGAGGTATGACTTAGTCATTTTACCCCGATAGTCAGATTAATTAGGGCGCGGAATCAGCTAGTGTCTCCAGTAAGCCTCTTCGTTGATTAGTCTATAATTACCAACTAAAGGACCTTGAGGAATGGCGCCACTGCTACAATTGCTTGGTGTGTAGAAATTACTCAACGCTGATTGGCCGAATCTGCGTCATGCAACTGCCTTACGTAATTAAGTCGGGGCCACGGGGGAATCCTCAAAACAGTCAGAGATTCCTCTTCTCAACTTTGTGAATCAATCCTCCATTCCACCATCTTTCTCACACAACGTCCTATGAGCCAATAGCAATTTTTCTCGAGGTTCACTCCCATTTCACATTGATTGCTCCTCGACTATGAGCTTCTCTACCGCCATGCAACGTCCTGTGACATCATCCGCCACACTTCTCCGATGGGCAAAGCCCTCGGCAAGATGTTTACGTACTTTCTCATCATATGGAAACGCTCATCTATCCTCCAAGCGGGACATGCAAACTGCAACTGCCTACCGTCCTCATTCGCTTCCAACATCCTTCCCGCTTCCTCGAAGCACCGGCGGCGCCAACACTTCGATCTCAGCTGAATTCCCTCCTTCCGACTTTAAATCATACCAGAGCCCATCACAAAGCACATTGTCCAACGTGAGCCTACGGGAAGGCGAAGCCCAAAAGCCGAAACCGACTTCTGCTTCTCCGGCCACCTCCAAGACTTCCCCGAAGCCCCGTCGGCCGCTTCGGGCAAGAAAGGCAGCCATGAAACTGTCCCCGGTGGCCACCGAGCAGCTTCGGAAATTGATGGCACAGCCGGAGCCGAAGTTCATTCGAGTCGGCGTCAAGAACCGCGGCTGCTCGGGCCTCGCCTATCACCTCGAGTACGTCGAGAAGCCGGGAAAATTCGATGAGGTGGTTGAGCAGGATGGCGTGAAGGTCTTGATCGACAGCAAGGCTCTCTTCAGTATTATCGGCAGTGAAATGGACTGGCAAGAAGACAAGCTGAGCAGACGATTTGTTTTCCGCAACCCCAATATCAGTATGTGGCCCCCGCAAAAATTGCAGCATCTGCTTAAGATTCGATTTACTGACTTATTATTACAGAGGAAGAATGTGGCTGCGGCGAATCTTTCATGGTTTAAGCACACCGCTTGAGCATTCATTTTGATATGTTTCTTATACGGGGCTCTCGGCGTCTTTCTTCTCGGTGCATCGGACGGCGTTTTCAAAGGGGGTTTTGGGGATTCCACGACTACCCTTTTGTTTGAGTACATACGCTTGATATCCAGTTGATACCTTTATCTACTTTCCTCCTTCTTTCTGCATTTTTCAACTGCGTCTCGTCTTGGCTGTGGGTTCTTATGGGCTCACAAGTTGGCGTGCCATGTCAAGAGACAGGCTAGAGGCTCAGCCAATGAACTGTTGATTCTTTTTGTTTTTCGTCTGCGGAGACATTCTTTTGAACCCTTGCAAGATCAACCATGTGGTATCTTTTGTGTATAGTTAGATTAGTCCGAAGGACATTGATGATGACATGTGACATTATTCCAAAAAATCACAAAACAATATTATAAACCTGCTTCCTCGATGATTTAGTCTATCTCTTTTTTCTATTAGCCTTTCAGGGTTGTAGAAAAGCGATATTGTCCAGTTGATGTCTATAATGTGTCACCTGACGGTATATGGTCTGAGACCCCGGAATGGGGTAAGCGCCGCATCTCCAACTTGAGACATATCAGTCATCGCTTGTTGTATAGAGCAGCCTCAATCAATTTCACATAAAAGCGCAATATTACCTCCTATTTGAAACATGGCTTCACCCTTCCTCTCTCCATACGCAGTAGGCGAACCAGATACCGACCTGCTCCTCATCACCGTCCGCTTCTCCGCCTCAATCCCCGACCTCCAACTAGATGTCCCAGAGCCCGAGACCACAACAGGCGCAGGCCTAAAACAACTGATCCGAGCCGAACTTCCCAAACCTCTATCATTCCACCGACTGCGCCTCATCTACGCCGGTCGCGGTCTCGAAGATACAACCGCATTAACCGTTTCACTAAAGCTCCCGCCATCACCAAGCCGGAGCCCTCGCCCCGCAGCAGACCAACCCGAGACAACCGACGACAATGGAAAAGGCAAGCAGGCAGTTCGGGATATCCGCCCACGGCTCTATATCCACTGCTCGATCGGCGACATCGCACTCTCAGACGCAGACCTAGCCAGCGAAGCAAGCGTGGCATCAACAATCCTTCTACAACAGAAGCAGCAGAAAGCCAGCGCAGGCAAGAAATTACCGACTAAGGATGTCTCATCTCTACTCCCAACATTTGCGCAACCGCGCCACTCCCAACCTCAACCCCAGTCCCAGCCAACTACCACCACACCCGCACCCCGCGGCTTCGACCGCCTTCTCTCGGCGGGCTTCACGGCGGCTGAGATCACCGCTCTGCGCTCCCAGTTCCTGGCCATGCAGTCTGTCTCCAGGACGCCGGATACTATGCCTACTGGTGACCAGCTGCGGGATCTTGAGGACCGCTGGATGGATGAGGGGTCGACGGCGGCGCAGGTGCAGGGTCTTGGCGGGGAGGGGGGTGGCATTGGGGATGATGAGGGTGGGATTGGATCCGGATCGCGTGGGGCAATGGATGATATGCTTTGGGGGGCTGTTATGGGGTTCTTCTGGCCTGTTGGCTGTGCGATGTGGTTGCGTAGAGAGGAGGGGGTTTGGAGTTGGAGGAAGGGGGTTGCTGTTTGTGTGGGTGTTATTGTTAATGCTGTTTTTGGGGCGATGAGGATTATGAACTGAGGTTGTTGATATATGTGTGTTGTTCTCTTTTGTTATTTGGCGTTATGAGATACCCCCAATTGAAGCTATTTAGTACTTTCTAATAAGGATTCGGGACTTGGTTGGACTGTTAACCGTCGTATTAGAGACCAGGGTTGCTTGGACCAGAGACTTGGATCTAGGTGTATCAAGACTCGCCGGATGCTATCATACATAATGGCAAATATGCGAGAGATAGACAGAGAGAGAGAGAGAGAGAGAGAGGCAATAGCCTTGCTAGTGTAGACGTAAGAGTAGAAAATCAAAAGACGTGAAAGATACACCGAGTATACAAACGCCAGCGCGAAACCCAAGTGCTAATGGAACTTGCTGTAAATGACAGCGAAAATCAAAAGAACCAGAACCGTAATGATAGCAATGGTAATTATCCGATTGGTAGCCATCCTAAACAACACAAGAGAAGTTAGCAACCACGTCTAGATTAGATCAAAACGAGACAAAGGGGAGTCAGTACCTACGGGCCATGCCCCTCAAAGTCTTGATACTAGTATCAACGTAGCCCTCACTCTGCTGCAAGTTGTTGCGAGCATTCGTGATCTGCTCCCTCTGCTCATACAGGGTGCCGAGGGTGCCACGAGCGACATCCTCCGTCTCCAGCGCCATACGCTGACTCTGCTGCAGTCGCGCTGAGCTGCGCTCTAGCCGGTCCGTACCAGAAAGCAACTGCTGTCTTTGTTCGAGGTGCTCATCCTGCGGCTCGTCGGTGTACCGGTCGCCGAAGAGTGCTTGCCGGTCATCCGAGAGGGACTTCAGCTTGCGCTTGACCTCGTCGATATCGGTTGAGTAGTTGCGGAAGCGGATGTTGACTTTTGACCGGGCTGCTGAGGGGATGTTCTGCTTCTCCATGCGCATTTGGTCGAGCTAGATGGGGATTGATTGGGTTAGTGTCTCTTGTTCTTGCGGTTGTTGGTTGTTCTCGTAGTGTGGCGCATGAAAACGGGTTGAGGGGTTCGGTGGACTCACCAGTTCTGTGGCTTCTTCGAGGACTTGTGTTGCGATGCCGATTGCTGATTTCCGTTGCTCGCCGCTTGCCTCGGCGATCTGGTCCAGCTTCTGGTTCAGATCGGCTTGCACCAGCTTCAACTCGTTCTCATAGCTGGCGAACATCTCCGAGCCGGCGTCTGTGTCCAGTGGGTTTGACATGGTGGTTGTATGATATGTGTTTTAGCTTAGGTGGAAGTGAAGATCTGCTGTCTGCAACGGTGGTTGATGTGTTGATGTAGGCTCCACCTTTATCTGGGGCGGGTGACGCTGTTCAATAGTGCTGAGTGGCGGTTCGGTCGGATCTTGTTGATAAGGCTTCGATTTGCAAACAAAGTACCCTGGCCTTACTGGAGTATTAGGGAACACAAAGAGAAAATAACTTAAAAAACCTAAGGTCTTGATAGGATTAACAAACGCTGGAACAGGAACGGGTGACGGTGAGAGACACGTGATTCGTCCCGGGGTTGCATTTGCGACATCCGATGACCTCTACATCTACACTATGTTGGATCTATAACCATTTATCTTCTGGAAGTTGCAATAAGTTGGAAATAGAATTTGATACATAGCATTAGCGTAACACCAGGCCCACACAAAACAATTCGCCTTTTCAATAAACATCCAAGATACCCCTTTGGTATACATGATCATGGAACTTTCTCAAGCCTCATCGCCATTTATGACAGGAAATTCTTGCTGTCTTGATCAACGATGATTGCGCTGCGCTTGGCATCCAGGAAGAGGTCCTCGCACTCAGCAACATCAGCCTCCTCAATTGCGCCGGGGCGGCCATTGACACGCGAGAGAATGCTTGCGGGGGCCAACAACTGCAGGGCATACCGCAAGCTGACCTTGCTGCCATGCTCGGCAACCTTGTTCAAAGCAGGTTCTGTGATATTGAGACCTTCAATCTTGGCGCGCAGCCGGATGATAGTCTTGATCTCCTCGGGGGCGTAGGGGTTGGTGGGGATGATAAGAAGGCGGGCAAGCAGATCAGGAGGAATACCGTGTGCGGCACTGATTTCGTGGGTACCACGGATGACGGTGTGGCCGCGGTTGGAGGCGAGGATGACAATCGGGGAGATGCTCGATTCAAGGGCACGGTTCAGGTATGTAAAGCACTCAATGTCGAGCATGTGCACCTAGAGAAGAAACAGGGTTAGAAATGCAATCGAATAATTCACAGGATAAAATTGTTCACGTACCTCATCGATGAAAAGAACACCGGGAACCAACTCCGCGACACCTTGATCAATGTACCGGTTGACAACCTTGTTGATTTCCTGGCGCAACTTGTCCGTGATTTCCGTCTTCTTGGGCTTCATCAACTGACCCATCATACTCATCACATCTTGTCCGCCCTGGGGTCGGGCGTTGGCCATATCCAGGTCGTGAAGGGTCACATCCTGAACAATCTCCTTCTTCTTGTGAACCTCGCCCTTGGGGACAGGCACATACTCCTCAGCCTCGAGATCGAATTCGGTCGCATAGGCATCGGATCGCCCAACTCGCTTGCATGAGCCGGTGTTGGCTTCAATGTAGATGACATCTCCGACAGTGACACGCTCCTTCTGGATGGCTTCGTAAATGCTGGGGTCTAGGCGCAGCTTCTTAGAGCCCTTAGCGGACTTCAACCCGATGATCAGATGGCTAATTGTGCGCCCGTATCCGCCCAGTGGGTTCTCGGCCTCCTCGGGGGTAAGCTCAGTCACCTCTCCCTCATAAACTTCCTTTGTTTCGCGAACACGGAGGCCTGTTATACGTTAGCTTGTATTTCCACGGTTGTTGCGCTTCCCCTAATGTCGCATTGCATACCGATAGCTCTCCGGAAGTTCTCCATCAATGCTTCGGTCTTCTTGACCTCTGCGGAATAGATTTCACTGCCAACAATCGGGCAGAAAGGAACCTTGGTTCCCAGCTCCTGCGATACAGCAAGAGCCAGAGCAGTCTTTCCGGTACCAGGGCCACCAGCAAGCAGGACAGCTCGTCCAGCCATCTTCTTCGACTTAATCAAGTCCACCACAACACCACATGCCTACCCCATGGTTTAAGCCGTTAGTTATCGTTACTGCGAACCAGATACCCTGGTGGGTTCAGGGTTGCTCTTCACTCACCTCGCGGGCAGCTCCTTGTCCCACAAATCCATCGGCATTGTTCTCCGGAGTCCCATCAGAGCGCAGGCCTAGACCCCGAATGTGTGTATGCGCTGCGGTCCTGTTCTCGCGCGAGTTGCCCTTCACTTCACTAATCTGGACCATGTTTGGAAGAGGTGTGGCCGAGTAGAGCCACAGGTATTAACGGAAGATGGGTCAATTGCTTGAGAGGAAAGAATGAAAAGTAAATCAAAGCTTCAAAGAAATAGCCTAGATAGAAAAGAAAGGTAACGCGATGGTTCTCTGTGAGATATGCTTCTGGCCGAAATTCGCGAGCAAGGGATCGTCGAATGAGAACGCCGCCCCCAGGGCGGTGAACTGCCCCAAATTCTTCCCTGCTGGACCTCTCCTCCGCCTGTTGTCTATTAACGACTTTCCGGCTCTTTGCATTCTCGACACTCTGCGAGGGTCCGATACCTGTCGAACACAATGGCAGGTCTACACACAAGATCTGCAATGGCCGCCCCCTTCTCTTTGGCCTCGGCTTTCCGCAGTCTTTCCATCGCAACACCGAAGCGATCCTTCTCAACGACACCGGCAACGCAATCAGTTCCGAAACTACCGGAAACCGCTCCAGTCTACCCCTACGGACCGTCCCAATGGTACAAGCAGGCTGACTCCGGTCTCTACGGAGGCGCTTCGATCCGATTCGGCAACAAGATCTCCAAGGGACGTAACGCAGGAAAGACACGACGAAGCTGGAAGCCCAACGTGCGCCGAAAGAAGATCGAGAGCGAGGCTCTGGGCGAGTCGGTGTTTATCAAGGTCACTCGTCGTGCCTTGCGATCAATCTACAAGGCCAAGGGCCTAGACAACTATTTGCTGTCTGATCGGCCAACACGTCTCAAGGAGCTCGGTCCTTTCGGATGGAACCTTCGACACCAGATTATGCAGACCCCGGCGATCAAGGAGAAGTTTGCAAAGCAGCGCAAGGCCTTCGGTGTGCCTGAGCCCCCGTCATTGGGCAAATGGATGAGGGACCACAGGCTAGAAATCAGGAACAAAATCGAAACCCTGGACATTGACGCAATGACCAAGCCTCGCGGGTCTCCGCGAAGCACCCAGTCGTATGCTCGGTAGAGCAACCTGGACGACCTTGCGTGCCGAGGGGAATGAACAGGCGCTTGTATCACTATCCTGAAGAGCGATGGACGGTTTTTTGGGCACCACGGATTTTGTGCCATCTTTGTACGCTATCTCGTTTCTCATGGTGGAAATGATGGCCACAGCTTTCTAATTTGGGTGCGGTCTCTTTTTCAATTTGCATATTGGGTCTTTTGTATTATACTTCAATCTTACTTCGTGTTCACTTCAATGTTGTCAAGACGTTTCATCTAATCATTTTTACGCCAAGTCTATAACAAGTTTGTATAGAGAGGATATAGCACTCTACCGAAATCAAAATTCGGCCGAACCAAAGAGGAGTGGATACATGAGTGTCTCGTCGTCAACCCCATAAGCACTGCCAATCCCGTTCTCAAGTGGAGAAAAAGTCTGGGCACCTATACCAGCCATTAATCCAGGATGAGTTGGTTCATGGAAAAACGGACATTCTTCGGAGCACATGTGACCACCCAGACCTCTAAGCATGGTTTGGTCTTGCGATGCCGGCAGTTGGTGATGGAAGTCCTCATCTAGACTCCTGGGGAAATCCTCCGTGATCATCTCGCGTATCATGCGCAAGACACCCCGATGCATGATGATCGACGTGAGCAAAGGCATCTGGGACTGGATGTAGGAAATAGACTCCGCCGAGATGCGCCTCGGTGGCGGGTCTTCCTCTGCTGTTCCATGGAGCGGAACTTCTTTAGCTAAAACATCGAAGACATCGCGCAAAGGTTCGGCTTGAACCCATCGCTCGGCAAGGATGGCCAGCGCAGTTGAGCAGGCGCGCAATGCGTCTGGCACTTCGCGTGATCGGTAGGCGATGGTTTGATGTTGAGGTGGAGTTGCCCAGAAGCAGTACAGAAGGGTGATACCTACGGCGACTTGGCTCAGGAGCTGATTACCGGACTATGTCAGTTGATGAGAAAAAGATCAGGGGGTTTTGAGCACATACCCCAGGCCATAGTTGTGCTGTCTGTCGGTCCTTTTGGAAGGTCCTAAATGTCATCGCAATCTGGACACAGGCTGGGACTGATCGGTCCCCAAAGCCATTACAGACGTTTTCTTTGGTTGGCTGGTGTAATAGGAGGATCGTGTAGTTGTAAGCCATGCCAACCCACCGATCGCTCGTGTAGCTTTTGGAGGCAACATCGCTCAATAGCCGTAACTGAGACCTCCAAGAGTCTAATTCGCCTAACATGTGTTCCCGCCATGTCGATGAGGCATCGATTTCTCTGAAGTCAGACCGCATCATGGTGCTGATAATCCGGGATTGTATACGTCTGCATCGGAATAGGTGAAGGGCTGGTGAGACATGTGTTTTCTGAGATGGTGTTTCTATTTGAATACGGCTATCCTCTGATCCTTCGTGGTGAAGATCTGCATCTCCGACGTTTGAAAAAAGCTACCATTGTCAGTCTCTTCAATGTTCTTTCAAGGGATCCTAAGTTTGGGGTATTGAGAAATGGCTTACCTCCACGCTAATGTGCTCATCAATGATATTGTTGGGGATGTGGTAAATCCAACTGATAAATCGATCTAACGCATAAGCAGACCAAAACACTCGACGGCGGGTTTGGACCTCCAAGGAAAACGCGGGATTCGGCACCTGCGGCTCGCTCTCAGCTAAATGGAGTTGGGCCATGACACAGTATCTCATCATTGCAGAGACAATGGTGACAATCATCTGTGATGATGGAGAATGAAGTGCATGCAGAGTCAGAAGGAGATATGCCTGGGCATGTAAAACAGAATCGGGTTGCGCGAAAACATGGGCAAGATATTGCATAGCAGTGTTATACAAAGACTAAGCTGTTAGCTTCCCCTTCGATAGTAGATAGATGCAATATCCAACTTATACTTACTTGAGATGTAGCAATGTCATCGACTGAGACTCGAGGTGTAAGAAGTAGAGCAACAGCATGCACCTAAAATGTATCGAAGGTTAACATAAATTCGAAATAACGAGCATTTTTTCCATACCATGGTTACAAAATAGTCCTTCCATAGAGACTGCTGATGTCTATCTCTATCCATCTGCGAGTGAGCCTTCCACGATTCATACCAGCCGAGAAAAGTAGCGGGATGAAGAAAGGGATATCGTGGGTTAACTCGTTCCAGGTATATTTGTACCAAGCGATCAGATGCCTCATTTGAAAGCCGTGGGACACGATCTGCTTGTAATACCTGATCTGTGAACTGAGAAACAATGTGGGCATTTGGACCTTCAGACTGTATTTGGGAGAATACAGATGATTCGGTGCTTGTGAGAGTAGCTAATATGCCAATCAATAGGCTGGAATGTCCACATTGGCCATGAGGATCTGGCAAGCTCTCCACTGCATGGGGAGATGGCAAGGCTAATGACGGGCAGGGGGCTGAATATCGCACAGGAATAGAACCTGAGGAGATCCTGTCCTGAGGCATACTGCGAGAGTATGGTGGCCCTGGCGCAATAGAAGCCTGAGAAACATGGTCCGTTTCATTGCCTCTTTGATGGGGAGATTCCTGTGTAGTTGATTGCCGGCTGGCAGACAGGTTCTTTGGCCTCTCATCTGGAATTTGAGATTCAAGATCTATAATTCTTTCTTCGAGGGCTCGGGTGTATCTATAAAAGCAATTAGCAGGGTACTTATAGCTCAGTTGACTCGACCTACTCGGTACTGACGCGAGCCTTTCGGCTCACTGGCTCACTTGAGATACATTCTATGGTTATGCAATCAGACAGGATCGTCTTGTTGTTTGTGCTCTTATATACTTACCTTTGCTTGCTGCTGTGCAATTATCACACGGTCTGCTTCCAGTACACTAGCTTTTGTTAGTTTGGCGATTCAAGGATGTAATCGAGCACACTCACTTTTTGCTTTCGTGATCGACACCGTCGACAGGCCAGTGCTTTCTGCCTCTTTCTAGATGGTCCCACTTTGTTTCTTTCCATTCGGACTCGGCATTTGGTTACTCACTGAGTTTATCGGACGAAAATGTCCGATGACGGTTCCGTTTTGGTTCCATCGATCCCACGTGACTAAGGATTTACCAAAAGGATGAGACTGGAAGGCTTTGGTATTTTATCTTTCTGTTTGATCTTTAGCTTCATTTGAGTGGGTTCAATATTTATACAGGCAGTAGACCAATTAGATTCAAGGCTAGGCTTAAGCTATTAGTGAAATTGCCATGCAAGGCTCAATCGGCATGTCAAACTCCGTCGGACATTACAGCCTCCGAAAAGAGATCGGAGTACTTTAAATGCCCAGAGGGGTAACAATTTATTTTGACTCCTTTCAACCTTCGCTTTTGAAATAGTTCACTAGAATCAAGAAGACTACACTATAATGCCTCAGAAAATCACCGTTGCTGTGGCGCAGGCCCGCACTCTGTCTACACTTGAGTTGACCCTTGCCGCTCTCAAGCAAATCACCCAGCATGCAGCCTCAAAGGGTGTCCATCTTCTGCTCTTCCCAGAAGCTTACCTAGGTGGGTATCCTCGCACTTGTGACTTTGGAACTGCTGTTGGCGCGCGTGCCCCCTATGGCCGGGATCAATTTGTTGAATACTTCCGCGCTGCCGTTGACCTGGGCGATACGCCTGCTGGAGCGGGAGATGACTGGGTGGAGCGCAAGCTACCCATCGCTCCAGGTCGAGACCACCGTGGTGACGGGACAAGAGAGTTTCTCGAGCGGCTGTCCCGCGAGACGGGTGTCTTTATTGCAACTGGGTTGATTGAAAAGGCCGGGGGGAGCTTGTACTGCTCCGCACTGTATGTCGATCCATTGCGGGGTGTTCTCGGAAAAAGAAGAAAGGTCATGCCAGTAAGTACATCATCGTCCATTTTTGCTGTTAACCGTAGTCAATTTGACTTGGTGTCGAATGCAGCGGGATTGAAACATTTCAACTAATACTGACCTAATTGTTGAAAAAGACTGGCTCAGAACGTCTTGTATGGGCCCAGGGCTCTCCCTCTACCCTGAAAGCTATCACTACAGAGCTCAATGGAGTCAAGCTTACCATTGCCGCTGCTATCTGCTGGGAAAGCTTCATGCCTTTGCTGCGTCAAAGTCTTTACTCGCAAAATGTGAACATTTACCTCGCACCCACAGCTGACAGCCGTGACACTTGGCTACCTCTCATGCGCACTATTGGTGGCGAAGGCCGCACCTTCGTGCTTTCTTGCAACCAGTGCGTGCGCTACAATGAACTACCATCCTGGATCACCGAACAGGGTAAATCTACAGAAGGTACGTGAAATATAATCCACTAACGTGTTCAAATGACTTATCGTTTCCTAGAAGCTCCAGACCGCTATATCTCTCGTGGTGGCTCTTGCATCGCCGGACCCTTGGGTGAAGTTGTGGCTGAACCTATCTGGGAAGTCTCCACTGATGATGCAGCTGATGGCTCCAGCATCGAAAATGGGCTTGTGATTTCGGAGATCGATTTGGAGGATTGTGAGCGAGGTCGACTTGATATGGATGTCGCGGGAAGCTATTCAAGAGATGAATTCCGGTTAACAGTTGACGGGTTGGACTTGAACCCTCCTCCGTTCTAGGGAATAAATAGATCAGATATGAACCTCACATGTTATATATAGAAAAGCCGGTCTGCACATTTTACACATGGGGAAACAGAAACGATTGGAACAGAAATTGACGGAAATTCCAGCTCAGCTCAGCCCGTCTGATAAACCCCAATTTGACTATTTGCCCACACAAACATAGAAGTCATGCTTCAATTTCTTACAATCACTTCCAAAATTTGGGTTTCAAGCGAGGAAATCACTCAGGGAAACATTGTTGTCATCGGCAATCTGGTGGCAGGCCTCACCCTTCGCAACTTTGTGGAACTTATTGCATCCCTTACTCCATGCCATTCTGGGTTCAGGCAGGAGTGACTATTCCAGTACTGGTTGATATCACTTGTGTCGAGGACTTTGGTACCGAGCTGGAAATCTGGGGTGTGCAGCTTTTGGGAATTGAGGGCACCGGCATGGCTTACGAGATGCAAATGCTTCTTCCCACCATTGAATCCAGGTTGTCGCAATTTTGATGGATGGTCCTGGATTGATCGTCAGAGTTGAGTTCTAGGAAATACAGCAGGTTTCGCTTACGGGTTCCAACCTAAGAGTTGTACTAATCCAAAAGACTCTCCGCGGACGATATCTTCGCATGTCTAGTTTGCCTGCACGGTATACACCGTACAGTTCTTTTCGATACAGAGGGCGGTACCAGAAGTAAGTGAAGAGCAACTGTAGTCCAGATGGTTGACCTCAACTAAGCGATCAGTGCTGATAGACTGAGCCTCAGAGATTGATTTGCAAGTATCATCCTCCTTGGCAATGTATGTCTTTCCAGTGCAAGTAGAAGTAGGAGTTGCAGTGGCAGACGATGGTACACCAGAGGACTCCGGTGTTGTTGTGGGATTTGATGAAGTGTAAACATAGGTATAGCTCGATGCTGGCACATTACAGGACGACAAAAGCGACGAGAAGACATTTGGTGGGAACTGCTTACGCCCATAGCCCGAGCTCGCCATCACTGCGCCATACTTGAGGGTACATTCCGAACAAGCTGTTTTTGTATGGTTGTAAATTCCTGCGAGGCAGTACCCAGTTCTGTGGCATGTCAAACTCATTAGCTTTCCTGAATCATTGCAACATTGGAGAAAACTTACGAATCTTTGATGCAGCTCAACTCATATGCCCACATCAGCCCATTGACAATATCCCCAGGGACTACTCTAGCTGTGCTATTTTTGAATAAAGCGTATGCTTTTGTTCCGTAGGCCAAGTGGCTACTTCTCTGGAAGTTATCGATAGAATCATGACATTCTTCAGTACAATAATGACTTTCCAGATTCCCAACCAAAGCGGCACCATTTGCAACATCTCGGGCAGTCACCAGATAATTGGCGCATTTAACATCGAATGTTAAAGCACTCCGACCGGCAGCGGGCACATCATCGGAGAAGCCGTCGGTGTTATTCCATAGTTGAATTGCCACAGCTTCCTGGGCAAGAAGAAACACGCTAAGAATCCCAAATTTGACCAAGGATAGCAACATGTTGATGAACTAAGGGCTCTAAAATCTACACGGTTAGTAGGTAAAGGGCGTACTTGGATATTTGATCTACCTAGTATTCCAGCTCATTTATCCTGCGATTCCCCCGGCCATTCTCGATAGCTAATCTCCGAAGAAGGAGGACAAGACGGGCCGCAACGTGATTTTACCTGCCAGGGTGATCTACATTTACCGTAAGATGCATGGTACATACTTTCGGAATCGGTGAGTGGTTGAAAAAGCTGGTACGTTCCCCCCTCCCTGTCGCCCTTCAATATTCTGATCCCAAAATATAGACCACTGTGACAAAGGCCAGTGTAGGTGTAATTGAGTTGGGTCTTAGTAGAACTATCAACCTCTTCTACGCCAAATGGGGATGTCCCGGAGAGACCTACTTTGGCGAACTGTCAATGGATTTGGAGGCCGATCTTTCGATGGATGCAACCTATGCCTACTATCTCTCCGCAACATTTATTCCCCCTGGCAAACCGGAGACCTTTGCATACTTTGGAATGGAGCTTGGGGCCTACATTGGCTTGCACGTCGAAGGCAGAGTTATAGCGCAGACACAGACTGAGCGAAAGAAGATAATCGATAACCTCACTTACCCCGGACTAGCTATGAAGGGAATCGCGGCTGTTGGGCCTACCTTGGATATTTACGGCCAGGTAAGCCCCCCGAATAATCGATTCATTGCAACTGCAATGCTAACATCAATCCAGATTCGCGGCAAAATTGCGCTTTTTGGCTCCCTTGATGCAGGAGCAAAGATGTCTTTCGGAAAGGCCGAGATCTTCTAGCCTCAGGACAATGACTTGCAAGCAAAATACTCAACACTGCTTGGTCTAGAGAGTAAAACTGAATCTCCTGCCCCGGGGACAGTTGAACCAGTGTTCCACGCCGGAGTCGCCGTCGATACCCAGATCGATATTCTCATCACCCCACAAGCCAGTATTGGCATCAAGATTGGCGGTGGCAAGATTGTTACCGGCAAGACCTTGATGGATGTTCAGCTAAGCGGCTATGTGGACACTGACCTCTCCTTCCAGGCTCACAGTGACTACGACACGTCTGACGATGCTTTCCACTATCGATTTGGGGCCTATCTGTACTACAATATTGGGTACAAGGCAGTGGCCAAGATTCTCAGCTACATTGACTGGGCAACGGGAGATCGCAAAGCATATTGGCCTGATAAAATGCTCAAATTGTACGAAAAGACGGGTACCATTCCGATGTCGGAGTCCAACGTGGGAAAGTGAGACCTTTCTATAGTGGCTGGCGCTCAACGGCATGAGAATGAGGCAGATCTGTCTGGTAACAGTACAATGTCCGTTTTGGAACCAGCTGCCGATATATTCCGCCGAGCTGACATTACGACTTTGAGTACGAACTCCCGTGGAGGTATATCGGTCGACATCAGACACTAACTAGCCTACTAGACCCTAAGACTCCCATGTTTACTAAAAAGAGCCATTGTCCGGCCGGAGCTAGTGGCTTCCAGCTTCCAGAATTGCGTTGTGAGTTTGGCATTTTTTTATCTGATGTGATTGTTATTTGTAGGCTAACTAAGTACGCTTTGACAGTCAATTGCGGCTTCCTTGGCCCATACCAGGGTGTAAACGAGATTCGTGATGCCGATAATGATCTTACGGAAACGCTCACATATGATGTGCCCGGTCTCTGTGACAATATTGTCAGTCTTATGCCATTACGCTCGAAGTTCACATTCGCCCAACACGAAAAATGGTAGAGGACAGACGCAAATCGGTTTGCCCCAAAACTAGCAAAGAGAGCAAATGTGCGTCAGCAATTAAGGAGCTGAACAAGGCATTGAGGCGAAACGTCTTGCAACTTGAATGTGATGAATTTCCTTGGGGGTCTAGTGAGCAGGGAGGAGAATGGCTACCTGAGAGTCAGCGCCGCACCGAGTGTGTCACTAGCTTCCAGAATAATTGGCACGGGAGTTGCGTCAGTAGGTGCTTGATTTTTTTTATATATCCATATCTGGATTATTTTGGTATCTGAATTCAAACTTGCTAACAAATTTCAGGAATGATTGGCCAAATTTCATCCAACTGTAAACACCTGGATCCCAAGTCGCGGACAGATCCCAATAGAAGGGATTATTGGGTGTCCTGGCACAAAAAAAAATGGTGAGCTTCTATTACATTTTTTCGCTATTGGATTGTTTAACACTGTATCTCTGTACGTTAGACTGGACCCACACGGGCAAGTATGGGAGAGGAGAGGCCAACAGACAATATGAACAAGAGCTCATCGAATACGACGAATAAATGCCACGTCCGGATCTTGGGAACCCAGTATGTATTCACTGTCAAGGTTTAGGAACTTACTAACAAAGCGGCGATATGGAGACAACAAGAAGCTATCATGGGCCTTCAAAAGAGACTATGAGACTTCCTGGATTAACGCTCAAACACCACTCACGCCTGCAGACTGGTCGAATGCCAACCCACCGACATGGGACAAGCCCAACTATGAGGGACCCCTTACCATGGACTCGGTTCTTTGCGCGATCAATCATTTTAATCAGGACGACGTGTACAAACTACCAGGTGTGAAAGTCGAGTCAGATGGAAAACCAATAGGCAAGCAAAAAGAGTACAACGCGCTTTGCAAGAGAACTAAAGGCAGTGGCATCCGCCACGCTGAGGCTTGGGGTATTGACTATGTAATGGCCAGGTGTTTGATTCGTTTCCAGAACAGCGCGAGCGGCAGCTCAAGCACATCTAAACGGGATACTCAGGAGTGGGATGCATGGAAAGTTGAAAGTATGTGGACCTCAAAAGAGTTCTTTTCAAGTACCTACTGGCTCTTTTTTAGGTATTGAATATGTGGAGGATATGAACAATGCCGACATGGCTCAGTTATTGGGACCTGCGAGTCTGGATGGTTATGAAGGTAAAGGAAACTTGCCTTGAATGTATTCGTCGAATTTTAGTGTTACATGACTTTGGTGGCCATCAAGTCCATGTATCCCACCCTAACAAAGTCGTTGGCCTTAAACCCATCGCAAAACAATTGCCGTCAAAGTTGGAAATATATAATGTATCTTCCGGACTGATGCTGTGTTAGAGTATCTTTGTCTCTCTTTTTTTTTCATGTAAGAGATTATGTACAAATGGACCTCATAAAATGGATTTATAAGGATATTTCATCTATTGATTAGGGTCTGCAAGGTCCTCTTCCATTAATTGATATAGTTCCCTCCCTAACTCTGCACTGGCTCGATACCTTTCCCCAATAGTAGAGCCGTGAGGGAACTCGTTGGTTTTCATCCATTTCATAATCACATTGGAGACATCATCAATCTCAGGATCTATACGAACTTCGCGAACGATGTTTCGGAACCCATCTAAATAAAGTACCCGCAGACTTCCAGATCGGAAAGCCTCCTCGTGACGTAGTTTTGTAATTCTGTCGCGCAGTCCTCAATGAACGCATCTCGGTCCTCACTCCAATTGATAACAAGAGATGCTGAGCTACGAGGTAGAACAGTACTTCTATAGCGAGGCAGTCCTGTAGCTACGAACGCCACATTGGGAACTGTTTGAATCTCTCTCTATCACATGGTCTCTTGCCAATACTTAGTACTACTACGTAGTTGGTGGTGGGCTTGGCACGGTTAATCTATACATTTTTATTAGCTAAGGGAAAGAAGGAAGAAAAAAAAAGAAAAAAGGGAAGCAGCGACCGCGGATCGAACGCGGGACAACAAGATTTGCACTGGAAGGAATTATTAGTATTTTAATTGATCAAATTGGAAAGCGAGATAACATACATCTTGCATTCTACCACTGAATTACCGCTGCTGGCGGTGAGGTGAATTGAAGTTATTAAATTATACTACCCTCATCTTGAATACTCCATTTGAACGTCGCTTACTCCGTAGCGACGTTTCGTATAACCTCAGTGATATGTGCATGTGGCATATGACTCTCTCTCAAACATCACGCGGATAATAGTATGCGCTTTTGTCGTACTATAGTACCCTGTAAGATCATGTATTTTACCTTGATATTTGACATACCGGTACAGCTTACAGATATATACCCTTCTGAACTTTTCCGATCCTTGTTGTCTTCAAAGGAAGCATCACTTGGAAATTTCACGCACTCTGCTGCTACCCGAAGTCCTTGATTTTTGTTTTCTTGATGTCTAGTGTGGTCTTGTTTCTTATCGTATTCCCTGTTTCCGTATTCAATGGCCTAGAACCCGGTTTCGTGTAGGTATTGGATGACTCTGTCTATAGCGTCAATATGCCTAGGACCTGGATTAGTTAGAATTTCTGCCACTTTCGCACTGGCTTTTGCAGCATCGGTAGTGATAAGGTTGTTGCACACTGAACACATCCAACCTTGGCTTGGAAACCATGAATCTGACTCAGTGTAGCAACCCTATCGTATGATTGTAAAGGGTCCCCTATTGACATCGGGAGGTTCAATTTGCGATTTGTGATCAGGTTATACTTGCTTACCATGCTCTTAATGTAGCCATCTCAACATTACCATGATCACTTTTTGTTTCGATCTCTAGGAATCCGAATATCTAGGAAGCAATTGGCATCCAGTTCTCACAGTTCCCAGTGGTTTTTCATATCTTAATCTAGACTAGTTGCTTGACTAGCATAGTATGGGTGGTTCAGGAATAATATCGTCAACATAGAAGTAGACGATGATCTATGTACGTATCACCCATGCCGATCTATAAAATATATCAACCAGTTTTCTTTCTCATAATCTTTATCCAATGAGAAATCTAGCATCGAACCAATAAAAAATGATAGACATCTTATCTCTGATTGTTTTCCATATCCTAAATATAAATTCTTACTGGATGCGGGATGTTTAATGGAAGCCCGGTGGAATGCGGCCGACCTTCTGGCCGCATTCGGACGCCACATCTCGGGATCTTCGCACCCGCGTCGATCTTCAAGCCTCTTTCTTCAGTCCCAACTTTTTGACATTGCCCTCACTCTTATTATGATTTGATTTAACAAGAACACTGTCCCTTATTGTATAATCTCACAATAGGGACGAGTACACGTCTTCATGCAGTTCGCGTTACCTCCGCGGCGGAGCCCGCATCCTCTACCTCTCTCCCGTTCCTCTCGAATGTCATCCTATCGCAGGAAACAATTAAAGTCGGTCGCTGTCCTGGCATTCGCAATATTATCCCTCCTCTATCTCCTCCACTACCTCTATTCCTCAGCCTCCACGTCCGTTGTGGCTCCGGTGGGTACCTCTGGTGTGGTAATCGTCACATTGTTAGACCATCAACGGTACAGCGAGAGCTATCTCAAAAAGATCGTTGCAAACCGGGAGGATTATGCCAAGCGTCATGGTAAGAAGTTCCTGTCTGAGATAATGTGGAAGAGCTTCCTTTGCAATGGACTCGAATTAACTCTCAAGCGGGAACAGGCTATACCAACTTCTTCGCAAGGGCGTCGGATTACGACGAAGCCGTTGGTGATGCCCCAATGAGCTGGGCAGTTGCGCCAGCCACCCGCCATGCCATGGCTACACATCCTCGCTCGGCATATTTCTTCCATCTCGCGGCTAATGCTTTGATCATGAACCCTACCAAATCTCTCAAGTCTCACATCCTGGAGAAAGACCGCCTGGAAGAGTTGATGATGAAGGATGTGCCTATTGTGCCACCAGATAGTATCATCAAGACGTTCGCGCACCAGAAGGACCAGGATGTGGACCTTATCATCACCCAAGACGCCGAAAATTTGAACCCCGGGAGCTTCATTTTGAAGAATGGAGAATATGCCCGTTTCTTCTTAGATGCTTGGTTTGACCCGCTTTACCGCAACTACAACTTTGCCAAGGCGGAGACCCATGGACTGGTAAGACTAATCGTTTACTCTATTGCTCTATCTTTATATAGATCGAGTTTCGAGAGCCTTGATTCTAACCGAAATTCTGCTAGGATCACATCATGCAGTGGCACCCGACTGTCCTTGCTCGAACCGCCCTGGTCCCTCAGCGCATTATGAGCTCCTATAGCAATGACTCGCCGGGTGCTTCTTTGGATGGTACCTATAAGGATGGTGATCTCGTGATCCAATTCCATGGGTGCGAAGATACAGAGGGCCGGGACTGTGCTCACGAACTCGAGCCATACTATAAGCTATGGGAGAAGAAGACACAGAACGATTAGAGAGTCCGAGGCTCAAGAACAAGGTTCTTGAAGTGGCGTTTGCATTGGGGGATCCACTTTTTCCACGTGGGGGAAATGGCGTTTTGCCTGGGATCTTTCGCCTGTTCACAGGTACAATGTTCTAGGGTTGGTCGGCGTTTGGTCGTGGAGACCTCAACATATGGCGTATTTTTGCTTTCAAGTGGCATGCATAGCTGCAAAAAGAACACGATAATCATTCATTTTTATTATGTCCAATACCAAAATAATACATCGCCTCATGATATCAGTAATTAGCGTATACCGTTTATCATGAAACCAGGGTTGCTCGATAAGCTGCTTGGGACTTCTCTTCAAGCCGCCAACAAAGACAATTTGATGCCTCGCTATACTTTTCTTCCTCTCCACTCACTCAATCACTCGGCCCATTGCCATAGCACATGGGACCGCCGAATACCAAGCCTGAACTTGACCATTCCGCCAACTTCTTAGGCAAGACCGGGGAAGATGACAGCGCGCTTCTTCTTATACTTGTCACCGAACTCCTTGCGGTAGCGCTTCTCCTTCTTCCAAGCCCAGCTCCACATCTGCAACCCACCAACAAATACGAAGAACAGCACACTCCAGTTCAACTGGCTGACAAGGTAAATACCCAACCAAGCCACGATCTCAAATAAGTAGTTGGGGCAGGTAACAAGACTGAACCCGAATCCAGAAGGGATGCCTCGCTCAGTGGTACCAGGCCGGCGGAGATCACGCAGGATGTAGTGCGCATTCAGGTTCGCCAGCTCACCAAAGACAAACAACGCTAGTCCGGCGTACACAAGAGCCTGGTTGGGGGTACTGGTAGCAGCAGCCGCGTCCGGGCGGAACACCCAGTAGGCGATGTTGAAACCGGCTAGAATCCAGTAGTGGGCGCTGTTCTTCACGATGTTGCGGGCAGGCATGGTGGCGCTGCTGAAACGGTGAACGAAGATCGTCTCAAACTCGCGCTTCAGGAAGTGCACGCTCAGCAGCAAGCAGACTAGGAGCTGGAGGTCGGAGGGCGAGGGGAGGGGCTTGTCGAAGGTGAAGTACAGGAGGGGTCGGAGTGGGAAGAGGAAGAGTGCGGGGATCAGGAGCGGACCAAGGTATTCGATGATGAAGACGGTACGCCAGGCAATTTGGGGACCTATTGCGTTGAAGAAGTATATGTTAGTTTCCGTCGGTTCGTTGGGAACATTGCGACAATCCTAGGGGTTGGATTCGCATCATTCATGATATGGGGTATAGACACGCACCGAGGTCCTTGACGTAGATCACGCTTGAGTTTCGCATGCCAGTGTCCTCGATGGTCGTGTTGATCGAGTTCGGGATCACGCTGTGGTCGCTACCCTTGGTGATTCTCATCCGGTGAATTGAGCAACCGGATGCTGCGGAGAGCGCAGTGTGCAATTCCTCACTGGAGGCATTGAGAGGGATTTCAATTTCCTTGGGGAGCTTCCGGATGGGTTTGCCTGCTTTTGGATTAGCGATGCTCCTAGGCTACTCTCTTTGTGATCTTGCTGAGAGCTTTGGGTTAAACAAGAGCTATTTATGCATACCTCTTGGCTGAACAACGAGCGTGATTTTATCGGCTGCCATGGTGATTACTTAGCTCAAGCAGATATAATGCTTGAATGATGAAGCTTATGTGAGACCACCAAGACAACGTGAAATTGCCACTGGCCCCAAAAAGGTGCAGTCCCAACAATCTACAAGTTGGGCCTCGGTTAACGTCACGTGTTGACACCTGAGGCCAAATATCCAATATCCAATATTCGGCATTCCTGGGATGCCTTCTAAGGCTTCCTTGGCAGCGTACTGAGGTTGTACAGAGTACTACAACATAGGTACAATATTTGCGTCTTGGCAATTCAGCGCGTGGCTATGCCTTGTTGTTCCGCATGATTTCTTCCATACTCACTACCTTGAAAATTGGAATGGCCTGGTAGCCAATGGCACTCAATGCCATCAGAAGGCACCTCAAATGTCCTTTTTTTATTAAATTGAGACAAAAAGTTATATATATACTCTCTACGGAGTACTCCGTACTCCGTAGCCCCCCAAGTCATCTGGCCTGTCAGCTGCACCAACCCCTCCCCAGAAGCTAAAAAGGCGCAATATGGATTATAGCGGGGCATGGGGGCTGTAAGGCAGTGCCGGGTTTGTGGGAGCTGAGAAAAACAAGCTACTGTGGTAACGTCAAATCAGAATCGAATAATATCGCCCTATCTACCCCGTAGGTCTCAGCTCCATATTGCACGGTTAGTCTGGCCGAACAGCATCGCCAATCAACGCCTCAATCGAGACAAACCTCACAAGTCCAGTGGAGACTTCTAGCTCCCATTGTTATCATCACATTATTTTGCTCTAAGAAAACATTATTTTTTTTTTGCAGAGTCTGAGCACATTGCGGATCTTAGGACCCATTCTGCCGCTGTCATTGATCCAATCACAGTGTGCGGTTTAGACCACATCTTCCTGCGAAAACCACTAAATCGAACCATTGAATGTGCTAATATAGCTCGTGTTTATCAGTTTAGCTAGGCAATCATATCCCGGGTCATCCGCCAGTCATTTACTAAATGGGTAGGCAAAAATGTCGTAAGATTTGACAGGGGATGGTTCGTATAGCATGTGCGAATCAGAGATATTTGATTGCTCATAGCAGCTAGTGGGGCGTTCCTCTTACCCAGGTCCACCTTGCGCTAAGAATGACCACGAATGGAGGCGCGGCTGGGCTTGTAGAATGTGAGGTGCATTCAGCCGTACGTACACTTTGCTCGGCTGATGGCCCTCGGCTTACTCCGTGATTCCCATGGGAGGCTTATAATAATAATATCCTATCCCATTTCCGCCGAAATGATCGCATGATGATTCACTTCTTCCTTTCCTAACTACCTGTGATTATTGTGTTGCTATTTTGCTACTTCCCTATATACGTGTGCTTGCGATTCTTAGTTGTTCCAAGCTGTCTGCCTCTTACTTGGTACCCCCACCCTACCCAATCGTGCTTGAGTCTTGACATATACCGGTAAGCGGCTCATCGCTGCATTCTTGTTATTATTGTTTTCTTTTTGTTCGACTTACCTATAGTCACATAATATCGTATCTATAACATTGAAGCTAACGGGTTAATCATAGTTCATACTTGAATTTCTGTACTATTCCATTGTATTATATCGTTAATTCACCATGGCTGAAGAGTCCAACTCCAGCAACAAACTTGCTCAGATCGAGCAAGTTGTGACTGCAGCCTTGCGGCCTTTGCCCACTCAAACCGGCGATGGCAGCTATGTACAAGAGCCAACTGTGACGGGTCTTGCTAAGGATCTCCTCCATTTTGACCTGAAAGATGCCAAGACTTTGGCGGAGGTTGCCAAAACTGCCGTTACTGGCGAGGCTGTCAACGACAGAGATTATGTGATGGAGCGCGTGATTCAGGTTTGTGTTTCCGCGAGAAATTGGCTACGTTTCCACTCTAAATTTTCTATAGCTTGCCGCTGGCTTGCCCTCGACATCTCGAAATGGCAAGGAGCTGACCAATACTTTCCTCACTCAATTGTGGGGTGATCTGGAGCACCCGCCTATCTCGTGAGTCGTGAAATGCGACATTGATATGTGTGGGAAATGTCTAGTGACTGACTGGTGATCTAGCTATCTTGGGCGCGATGCGGCATACCGGAAGGCTGATGGATCTGGAAACGTAAGGATTGTCCCCTTATATGTTGAGAATCTCTACTAAGCAGCCCTAGAACACTTTTTGGCCTCAGATTGGTGCTGCTGGCACTTCATATGCACGCTCTGTTCGCCCGAAGACTATGCAGCCTGCTGCTCTTCCAGAGCCAGAGGCTCTTTTCGATAGTCTTTTGGCGCGAAAGGATTTCAAGGAACACCCGAACAAGATTTCAAGCGTGTTATTCTATCTTGCCTCTATCATCATCCACGGTAAGTTGTCTGTTGGTTGAGATTTATGCGATGAGAGATGGCAGAATAACTCGGGCTAACAGTCCTCAGACTTGTTCCAAACGGATCCCAGGGACCAAACAAAGTCATTGACATCCTCGTACTTGGATTTGTCTCCGCTTTATGGTAACAACCAGAAAGAACAGGATACAGTCAGAACATTCAAGGATGGAAAGTTGAAGCCTGACTGCTTTTCCACCAAGCGGGTCTTGGGATTTCCCCCGGGCGTTGGCGTCCTTCTCATCATGTTCAACCGTTTCCACAACTCGGTTGTCACCCAATTGGCAGCTATAAATGAAGGTGGCCGTTTCACGAAACCGGATGAGTCAAAAGCCCAAGCTTATGCCACCTGGGATAATGACCTCTTCCAGACCGCAAGACTGGTCACTTGTGGTCTTTATGTTAACATCATTCTAAAGGACTATGTCCGGACTATCCTTAACATCAACCGAACTGACAGTGTGTGGAGTTTGGATCCCCGTGCCGAGATAAAGGATGGCTTACTCGGCAAGGCACCTGCCCAGGCTACCGGAAACCAACTTTCCGCCGAGTTCAATCTTGTTTATCGCTGGCATTCTTGTGTCTCAGCTCGGGACGAAAAATGGTCGGAGGATCTGTATAAAGAGCTATTTAATGGACAGGATCCGAAGCAGCTTAGCCTGCAGGATTTCACAGGGGGTCTTCGCCAATGGGAATCAAAACTCCCAGCAGATCCCCAAGAGCGTCCTTTCGCTAAATTGCAACGCCAAGCAGATGGAAAATTCGACGATAATGATTTAGTCAAGATCTTTGAGGAGGGTGTCGAAGATCCTGCTGGAGCTTTCGGTGCTTTGAATGTGCCGGATGTCTTCAGAGGCATCGAGGTTCTCGGCATCAAGCAGGCACGCTCTTGGAATCTGGCTACCTTGAATGAATTCCGTCAGTACTTTGGTTTGGCTTCGTATCAAACCTTCGAAGAGATCAACTCAGACCCATACGTCGCGGACCAGCTTAAGCATTTCTATGACCACCCCGACCTTGTTGAGTTGTACCCTGGTCTCATTCTCGAAGAGGCTAAGCAGGCTATGACCCCGGGTAGCGGTCTTTGCACCAATTTCACGACCTCGAGGGCTATTCTCTCAGACGCAGTTGCTTTGGTTCGTGGTGATCGCTTCTATACTGTCGACTTCACACCCAAGCATCTTACAAACTGGGCATTCAATGAGATCAACAATGATGTCTCTGTTGATGGTGGTCAGGTCTTCTATAAACTGGTCCTGAAGGCCTTCCCCAATCATTTCCGCGGTGACTCGGTTTACGCACACTTCCCGATGGTTGTTCCCGACGAGAACAAGAAGATCCTGACCAGTCTTGGTAAGGCTAAAACCTATAGCTTTGACCGACCATTTTATAAAGCCCCGGCCCTCTTCATCAATTCCCACTCTGCTTGCGAAAAGATCTTGAAAGACCAAGAAGGGTTCAAGGTAGTGTGGGGTGAAAAGATCCAATTTTTGATGGAGAATAGCGGCCGTCCTTATGGCCGAGACTTCGCCTTGTCGGGTGATCTTCCTGCCAACGCAGCTTCTCGAAAAATGCTCGGTGCTGCTCTGCACCGTGACAAGTGGGAATCGGAAGTGAAGGCCTTCTATGAGGATATTACTCTGAAACTCCTCGAGCGAAACTCATACAAGGTTGCTGGCGTCAATCAGGTCGACATCGTTCGTGATGTTGCTGTCCTCGCTCAAGTTCACTTCTGTGCCAACGTCTTCTCCCTGTCTCTCAAGACAGAGTCAAACCCAAGAGGTGTGTTCAGCGAGCAGGAGTTGTACCAGATTCTGGCCGTGATCTTCGCTTCCATTTTCTACGATGTTGACGTATCCAAGTCTTTCCAACTTTGCCAGACTGCTCGTAATGTTGCACAGCAGCTGGGCGAGTTGACACTAGCTAACGTTGAACTCGTTGCTAAGACTGGATTCATTTCCAACTTGGTCAACCGGCTACACCGCCATGACATTTTGAGTGAATATGGCGTCCACATGATCCAACGTTTACTCGACAGTAAGTTGCCGGTCAAGGACGTTGTGTGGTCGCACATTCTTCCCACGGCCGGTGCATTGGTTGCCAACCAGGGCCAACTTTTCTCCCAATGTATCGACTACTACCTCTCCGAAGAAGCGGCGGAGCATCTAGTTGAGATCCAGCGCTTGTCCAGGGAGGATACTCCTGAGGCCGATGAGCTTCTTGTGCGATAGTAAGTTTCTCCGTATTCCGGTTGGGATTTAAGAGGCCATACTAACTGTATACAGCTTCATGGAAGGAGCGAGACTCCGATGCTCGGTAGCATTGCCACGCTTCGTCACTAAACCAACGGTGGTCGAAGATAACGGCGAGAAGGTCACTTTGAAAGCTGGCCAGGAGATCATTTGTAACTTGGTAAGATCTTTGGTGTCCCTTTGCTTTTTCTTGCGACTTTCAGATACTAACAGCGTACGAAATATAGGTTGTTGCAGGCCGCGATCCTGTTGCGTTCCCTGATCCAGACAAGGTCCGTCTTGACCGTGATATGAGCCTGTACACTCACTTCGGTTTCGGTCCTCATGAATGCCTGGGCGTCAAAATGTGCCCTCTTGCACTTTCCACTATGCTCAAGGTGCTTGGGCGACTGGATAATGTCCGTCGCGCCCCTGGAGCCCAAGGCCATCTGAAGAGGCTTAATGGACTGGGAGGGATCGCCATGTATATGGATGCCGAGCAAAGTAGCTTCTCTCCGTTCCCCACGACTATGAAAATCCAGTGGGACGGAGACCTGCCTGCCAGGAGGGAGTAAAGACTGTACACCTGACAATTGCAAAGGATGTGCATTTTATTTGAGAGACCTTTATAACGTTCAAGGCAGGTTGTTTGTATAGCGTGCATGCGTTCTTCTCAGAGATGTGGTTTACCGCGCATCAATGAAATTAGAGCTGGCTTTGAGCCTAAAGTCCCACATCATTTGAAAAAATAGTTGATAAACTGTATAGTCAAGTAGACCTTATTGTATTTCTCTGTAAGATAAAATGCAACAATTCTAAGGTTGCATCATATTTGTGCCTAAAGATTGTAAGTTGCAAAGGGACAGTCGATGCCTGAGGCCTAGCGGGGGGGAAATCAGCCAGAGAGCCGCTCCGCCCTTCTGCCTCTCTTCTGCCGGCAAGACCAGCTTCTCTTCACGTTGCTCGCCCTTTCTCTCTTCTCTTCTATCAACCACCCCTCCTGTCATCTTTTCCTTTTGACACACCTGTCTTACTATCTACTACGTCGAACTCTAAGGGATAACGACCTGCACCCGTTTTCTCTTATTTGACCGACTTCCCGATATCTCATCTCTCAGCTCTCGAGTTGAGCTTTCTTACTCAAGTTCTTTCACGATTGGATGGTAAATTTGATCTAATATCCATTTGACTTGCTTTTTATTGACAGTGGAATTTCGCTCAGGTGCTCATCACGTTGGGTCGATTCGGTTTTCGTTGAGGCAGCAAAGCAGCACCAAAAACGTCATAAGGGATCTTCGCGCTTCCTCCGCGACACCGGTCTTTACGACCTTCTCACTCCACCCTCTCTAGGAGACAACCCTCCTGGAACCTCTCCACTCCCTCATGTTTGACTGGTCAACCGATCGTTATCATGGGGAGAATTAAGAAGGTAGCCAGCCAAAAGCATGAGGCTACAATCGTAAGTTATTCTCCGGCGGCCTGATGTGCAACCCAACTAAAAAATTTTCCTTTCATCACAGTCACCATTTTTGCAAGAATTCATAGCGCGTGCCACAAGCCTCCCCGTTCCAGAGCTCCCGTCGCTTCTCAACACATTCCCTAAGCTATGGCCTTTCCCACGCGGTGATCTCTACCATTGGATCAATGTCCTGGACCGATTCGACGAGATTCTAGCCTCAGCTGTGGATAAATACTTCCTGAACACTGGCCCTCAGACTCAGCTGTTCACCCGAAGTGTTTTGGAGGAATCATACTCGGCCGATGAGAGCAAGAAGCCAGCAGAGGGTGTTGATGCGAAATTAAATGCCCTGGGATACGGCTCTGAAGGAGATAGAGAGCTTGTGGAAGCAGTTCTTGATTTCTCTCGTCTTTTGCTCGAGAAATGTGGAAACCGCAGCCTGTACAGCAGCAGCGATCGCTTGGGTGACCTGTTGAATACCACCTCACTCTCTCTCCTACAATCTACACTGCGGCTGTCTCTTTGCTTAGCCCAACGATACCACTCTCGCCAGCGTGGCACCCATCAACAGTCCGTATTGCAGTCCCACTATGCTCTCGACCTCGAAAAGTTGCAGAAGATTGCGGCTCCTTTCCCCCGCCCAGTCATCGCTAGTAAAACACCGTTTGCCGCATCTCCTGCCGTTTTAACCAAGGGGAAGGAAAATACAGCCCAGACCAAAATCAACGCCAACGAACTGGTTTCTCTCGTGCGTGATGACGATGGCTGGGAGGAATGGGGAGATGTTCGAGTTCTTTACTATCCCTCGGGCGAACAGGCCAGAACAACCTCTGAATTTGGCCAAGCAGAGCAGGGCTCCCACGTTCCAACTACCCCGACCCCGTTGCGACGCAGTGCAACACACCCCACTCATCATTCCAATCTGGGCTCGAATGGAGATGAATCACCAGCTGTCTCTGGTGGGAAGACAGAGGAGGCCACACGAGCGGGCAAAGTCCTAGAGCTTCCCCACTCAAAAGTTTCAACTGCAAAGGTGGAAGATCTTCTTGCAGCCAACTTGCCTCACCTGCCCCTCGAATCAAAATATGAACTGCTTCAAAAACTCCGAGTCGCCAAGGCATTGACGGCGTCGCGTGCCACGCGAGAACAGATCCTTTCCATCAAGGCACTGGCAGTAACCAACCTGGCTCATGTCCAGCCGGAGAGTACCTTCCAATCAAAGGTTCTTCAATCTGACCTGGAACAACCGAAGCGTCTTCAGCTTGCTTACCAGCTTGCTGAAGTTGTTCATCTCGGTGCCAGTGGTGACCTCGAGGTCTCCCGGTCTGTTCAAACTTTGGCGATCCAGGCACTGGATGCGTTGGCTAAGCACAAGGCTCGTGCTGTTGACGTCTGTGCAGCTTTGAGCGTCAATGTCAACCACGGAATTCTTATGTTCTTGACCCGTAAAATGGTCAATGAGCTAGGCCCTGAGAACAATGATCCGGATGATGCCTACTACGACGAGTGGCGAGATGCTTTGCTTGCACTCCTACGCACTCTCCCAAGCTCGAGCACACGTACACCGGAGACCTTGGTAGCAGCAGGTCTGATTCCCATGTTTGTTGACATTTTGAATCTGCGGACTGAAAAATCCCGCCGAGTCTATTCCCGCATTATGGAGTTCCTTGACACATTTGTGCATGCGGTCCGGGATGCACTGGGTACACTGACAACAGCAAAGGGCTTTGACGCCATGTCTGATCTGATTGACCACGAGACCAAGACCGCGTTTGAGAAGGTCAACCGCGGGGATGGATTCCCTGCTCAATACAAGAACCCTTCGATTGACTATCAAATCCCCTACTTCCAACAGCAGACCCTGCGCTGGATGTTCCGTTTCGTCAATCATATCATGCAACACAATGGCGGAGGCTTCGATCGTGTTCTACGAAACTTGATCGATTCGCCTCAGCTGTTGACTTCTCTTCGCCTTGTGTTCGAGAATGCTCGTGTGTTTGGCTCACATGTTTGGAGCAATGCTGTCAACATTCTCAGCAGCTTCATCCACAACGAACCCACTAGTTATGCTGTCATCGCCGAGGCTGGCCTCAGCAAGAGCCTTCTTGCCGCAGTCATGGGCCGTGAACTGAAAGTGCAAGAGAAGCCGCCCGCCGTGGAGCCCGAAGACCGCGAGACTGAGGCTGAGACCGATGCCGAACCCGCCGCCACTCAACCGCCCAGCGCTGAAGCCGCTACCCAGTCCGAGGAAAAGCAGAAAGATCGCGAGTACGCTATCGTTAGACCCCAGAACACCCCTCTCGCACCTGGCATAATGCCCGCAGCTGATGCACTTGCTTGTATCCCCGGTGCATTTGGAGCCATCTGCTTGAACTCCTCCGGTTTGGACCTCTTCCAGTCGTCCGATGCACTGGAAAGCTTCTTCGAAATTTTCGAGAACCCTGAGCATGTGAAGTGTCTGAAGGATGACGCAGAACTGGTTCGTTCGTTAGGCACGACCTTTGATGAGCTGGTTCGACACCACCCGGCATTGAAGACCTCTATTATGTCTGCTGTTCTTGTAATGGCTGCTCGTGTCAACATTCTGGGGCGAGTCAAAGCATGGGAGCTCGGTATGGGGACAAAGATGTGGACTCAAGACGCCGACGGGAAGACAACCCTTCTAGGAGATGTCTTTTCATTGTTCCGAGAAATCGGCACAGCCGTCGATGCACCTACAGACGACCCTGCCTCGTTTGGTGCTCCCAAGCTCAATGTGAACACTCTTCCTAACGGCGCTAAGCTTGTCGTTGGGGATCTGGATCATGTTCTTCCTTCGCCAGGCCCTGACTTCGAGCCTAAAGATAAGGATGCTCACGGTCTCTCGGCTACGGACTACCTCTTCCCAGCTTTGCGATTCCTGGGCGCTTTCTTTGAGAACCAGACAAACTGCACATCCTTCATCCTGGCTGGCGGCACAGAGTTCTTGTTGGATCTTGCGACACTCCAAAGCTTGGCATTTGATTTCCATAGCACCAACGCCAATCAAGAGATCACCGTACTTGTTCACATGCTCGCGGAAACGAAGCCTCACCTTGTGCTCCCGTCTCTCGTTCGACGCGCACAGGCAGCAGTGGACAATCTTTCGGCCTTTTGGACTGCGCCCACTGGATCGGGATTCTTTACAGAATTGATTAAGCCTGCAGACTCCAAAAATCCGGCCCTTGAGCCCACGGCTGCTGCTCAATCTGGCACATTTTTCGTGAGGCACTTGAATGCCGTTCTTCTCCTCACTGACGTCCTTCGCGAGGTCTTCGCGTCGCCACTGTACCAAACTCGACCTGGTCAATCTACCTCCATCTTTGGTCAAGCCAACCTTGCGGACCACTACTGTTCCCTGATCTCCTCATTAAGCAACCTTCTTGCTTCTTGCGTGTGGGAAGGAATTTTGCTGGAGAAGAACATCCCTGAGAAGTGGCTGAAAGCGACACAAGCCTCTGCTGAAAAGCATGGCTCTGGAAAGTCAAAGCCTGCCCCGGTCACTGGGATCCCCCAGGAGCCTTCAGCAACATCCGGCGCCGAATCTCAACAAGAGAGCACTAGTGCACCAGAGACTGCTCCGGCTCAGTCGGGCCAGGCCCCGAAAGAAGACGACACTGAAGTTGATGAACAGTGTCCTGCTTTCAAGAATGCGCGTACGCTTCGCTACCTTCTAAGCGCTCTGCCAACCTCGATTACGGGTTTCTTGCACAACCTCGGACTCGGTATTATCGGCAAGAGACGCACAGATCCGCTCCAGAAACAGAAGGCGAATGCTATCCTGGTCTCAGACGCCATTGCTGAAGGTATTCTTCGTCAACTGCAGTTCAACCCTGCCAATTCGAGTGACAGCCCCAAGCACCGGTTTGCATATCTCATTGTCATTCTTTCCCACTTCTCGCACCTTCTTTATGAAGTCTCAGCAGACCGACCCAGTCCAAACTACTTGACTTCAGTTCTCGTTTCATTCAATAAAAACAACGGCCTCAAAGTGCTGAAGGACATTTGTGACGTCTTCTTAGGCGATATCAAGTCCCTTCCATCTGCGGAGTCCATTCCCGACCAGGACAAAGAGCTTGCTGACCGGCTTGCATCCGG